CAAGTCTCAAAAAGAAAAGAGAAGAAATCCACCAATAATGCATGCTGGAGGGGATGTGGGGAAAAAACCCTTCCCCACTGTTGGTGGGAATGTACACTGGTACACCCACTCTGAAAATCAATGTGGAATTCCTCACACACTAGGACAGAAATACCATTTGACCTGACTATTCCCCTTGTAGGTATCTTCCCAAAAGAGTTAAAAGCATTATGCCACAGGGACATATGCACACCCTTGTTTACAGCAGCACAATTTTTATTGTTGGTATTGTTGTTCTTTTGAGATAAGTCTTGCTATGTAGTTCAGGCTGGCCTTGAACTCACTATGTAGCCCAGGGCTTTCAAACGTGACTATCCCCTTGTCTCAGGCTCTTGAGTGCTGGTACACCACCACAATTTGTAATAGGTAAATCTTGGAAATAGCCCAGCTGCCCATCAACAGATGAATGGACAAAAAACTGCGCTTTTCATATATAATGGAGGGGCTGGTGATCTAGCTCATGGCTCAGTGCCTTCTGGGCAAACATGAAGTCCTGATTCCCAGTACTCTGCCCTACAAAAAAGAATGCTACTCTGCCATGAAGAATGAGACACTTTTAGGAAAATGAATACACCTTGAGAACTTACTTTTAAGTGAAGTAAATCAGACACATGTTTAATTATCACATTATCTCTCTTCTGTGTGAAACTAAAGGGTACATAAGGAGCAAAGTGGGGGACAGATGGTGGGAAGAAGGGAAAAAATGTTCCAATGGGAGAGCAAACAAGGAGGAAAGAGAGGGAACAAGGAGGGAGAGGGGAAGGATGGAAGGGAACAGGGATAAGATTAAAAAAGAAAAGGAAAACAACAGGAACAATGTTTTGCAAAGGGAAAGGAGAAGAAGGATTGAAGAGAAGGGAAGGGAAGGGGGGGAATGAATCAACATAGATGATGTACAGGTGCAAGTTCCCTGTGATGAATGTGATCATTGTGTATATCAAAATGTACCAATAAAATAAATTTTAAAAACCAAATCTCTGAGGTCTCACATAAGAAATTTGAAAAGTAAAATTCTAAGTCCTGATTTTCCTTCTTTCTTTTATAATAACAAGATGACTTGTCCAGAACACGAAACATCAGGAAGTGCTTGGGAAAGCTGAGCAGAACTTCAGAAGACAAGCTGTTGCCCTGCTCAGTGGACTAGAAAACAAGTTTTCAACCTTACACAAACACCTACCCATCTGCATTGCCCAAGCATCCCAACATGGTCTTTGGCCAGGGGCACCCAGGACAGAAATCATGGTGGGTGGCCCCAGGGGAGAAAGCGCCAGTGGTGACTTGCAAAACTGCAAACACACGAAAGGTTTTCTAGGTCAAATAGAATAAACATTTACTTAGCCAGGGTCATGGAAAAATAGGAAATCTACCAGCATGGCTGCATGTTGGTACTCGGGACTCCTGCTCGAAGAGCAACCACAGGGCACATGTGTGAGGTCAGGCCACAGGAAGCACGCGTGGTCCTAGGGAGGACCAAATCCTGGAAATTCTCACAGGGGTGTAACCTGGCTGCTTTCTCCTGAGAGAAGAGACAAACACAGAAGTTTGGGACGGTGGGAGGCTGTGCTGTCTAGGCACATCATCACTGTAACCTAAACACAAAAACTGAAGACAAAAGAAATATCTACTCTCACATTTTTTCATTATTTATAATGAAAAAGCTGACAATTATATTCAGTGTAGGACACTAGAGAAGGGCTTTGAAAATAGCTCCCCAATGGTGAAAATGTGGAATAGTGAAAAACTAGGTTTAAAACCCCTCACTGCTCATACATAATGTGCTGAGCCCTCTGCCACAGCCTCTCCTAAGATGCAGGATATAGGCGGCACCACCTGCAGCACCACCTGCAGCACCACCTGCAGCATGGTCTCTAGAAATGCCAACCTCAAAAGTCCAAGAATGGGACTGTACAGGCCAAAAGGTCTCTACAGACATAATTAAGGATCTTAAGATGAAAGCATTCTGATGGCCCAAATCAAATGAAAACTGTCCTAATGAGAGAAAGAAGAGACCACACAAATAATAAGGCCCGGTCTGGACATACCAGAGACTGGACCAAGTGAAAGAGAAGCTTCCCCTAAGGCCTACAGGAGGAGCAGGACTCTGAGGTTCCCTGACTCCTGCCTTCTGGTCTCTAGTCTGCTGTTTTAGGGTATCAAGTCTGTACTTATTTGCTATGGAAGTCACAGGAGAGCACCACACTGCCGACATCCTCCCCATGGAGTCAGTGATTTACAAGATGCTAAGTGCTAAGGTATTTTTTTTTTTAAATAGAATTAATCACAGGATTCAAATGTTACGAAGCCTGACTTTTTCATCATAAATTTCCTCATCAAATTCTCACCTAATGTTTTGGTTTTTTTTTTTGTTTTTGTTTTGTTGTTGTTGTTGTTGTTTTTTGCGGAACCGGGGACTGAACTCAGGCCCTTGTGCTAGCCAGGCAAGCACTTATTCTACTGAGCCATCTCCCTGGCCCAGTGCTAAGGTATTTTGCTGTTGAAAGAAAGAGGAAAAACTGGGCATGGTAGCAAGCCTGTAATCCTAGCACTTGGGAGGCTGTAAACAAGAGGATCACTATGAGTCCGATTTACGCAGTGAGATCCTGTAGACCCTGTAGACCCTGTCCTAAAAATACAAACTAATAAAAAGAAAAAGGAAATTATATTTAAAAAAAAGAAAGAGGAGAAAGAGAAGGGGAAACGGGAGGGAAAGGGAAAGGGGGAAAAGGGGAGGAAGGAAGGAAAAGGAAAAAGCAAAATGCTTATGAAATATTTACATTTACTTCTCTAACATAAATCTCTAAAACAAGACATATTTTTTGATATGGTGAAAAAAATCTGTCACCTATTTGAATATTACATTAGTATGTGTGACTCTGCCCCTTATGAAGTAGCAAGTGGTTGCCTGTAGCTTAACGTCTGGCACCAGCAGAGGCTAGGGAGCCCTGTCCTGCCTGCACCAGCGCTGGATCCTTTCACCATCTGACATACAGTGGTCACTCTGTCACTTGAGAGGCTAGACATGAATCCAGATACACCTGTCCTATAAGTTCTGGGCTCTGTACCATCAGACTGACCAAATGTGAAATACATTTCCTTGGCTAAGAGAAACGAAGACAATGCTTCAAGGAAGGTGAGGGCAGAGAAGGGAAGGCGGAAGTTTTCCTAGCTGTGCTCCACTGTCCCAACACCATCACCCAAGGGTTCCTACCAAGTGCAGCAGCTGAAAAAGTCTTTTATTTCCAAGTTACTGACCATAAAATACCAAAATAAATGAAAAATAAGGCCAAGGGTTGAGCACAATGGCAAAGAATAAGTGCAAGGCCCTAGTTTTAATCTCCAATGTCAATGGGAGGTGGGGGGAATTAACACTGAAGAGCATGGGCACCATGGGGAACTCCCTGAGTGGGGCACAGTGGCTCAGGCCTATGCCTCTACTTCTCAGGAGGCTAAGACAGGAGAGTCATTTGGGCTCAAGAGTTTAAAGGCAGCCTGTAACACCATGAGATCTCATCTCAAAAAAAGTGAAAAACTCCCATGTATAATTTAACTGATAGCACAATCACTCTTGCTGACTAAAAGAAAAAATGCTCTCTAATATCCCTGCAGCTCCAATGACAAAGGAACAAGGCTCTGAGGCTGGGCCTCTGGAATCCACAACTGTGTGTTTGCCTATGAAGGGAGAAAATGAAAGCAAAGACCTGCAAAGAATCCCTGGCACCAGTGCTGGATGAGGCAGACTAAGCATGTCCAAGGATGCCCAGACAGCACAGCCCTCCAGAGCCCTGCCGCAGTCAGAGCAGCCAGACTGAACAGAAAGGAAATCCATGTCTGCTCCCTACATGCTCAGTTCTCAAGTTCACACAAGGTCCTCCAGGCCTTCAGGTCCAAACCACACCCACCATAAAGGACACTCCCTTCCAAATGTGTAGAAATATAGCACTACTATGGATTTTCTGTTTTAACACTACTTTGCACTCTCTTTAAAAAATAAAGAATAATTTATTTTTAATAATTTTTATTCATTTTAATGAGAAAAAGATAAAAGAGTGATGAAACAGTTTCAAAACAGGTTAGTAGGATGTTTATAATAATACATTGCGTATCGTTGTCTTTGTAGTGGTTATTCAGAGGACAAGATACAGACATGATAGATATCTCAACAGTATTAGTACAAACTTTTTATTTTTTTTCTGTATTTTAGGGAAGGGTCTACAGGGTGTTCAGGGTCTCACTACTAGATCGGACTTGTAATGATTCTATTTTCAGCCTCCCAAGTGCTGGGATTACAGGTATGCGCCACCACACCCAGTATCAGTACAAACTTTTATCCTCAGTGAACTAAGAGAAAGTAGCTATATATATATATATATATTTATGTATACATATATATTTTTTTATTTTCCTTCTCCCTTTAACAACAAAACTGTCTTTCATTTACACTTTTGTGAAGTTAGTAACGCATGACACAAGGTTGCTTAGCAACCGATAGCAAACCTTAACCAGACATCTGTAATTGTTTTTTTCATATTCTGTAGGGATTTAAATTTTAGAATATCCATGGTTGCTGGAAAATAGCAGTTCCATGTTATATCTAAGGCATTTGATATTCAGATAGATAGTGATGGTAAGCTCAACTGTCTCTTATAGGCTAATAGTATCATTAAGCTTCTCTTCTGGATGTTTAACAACTAAAGTTTACAGACCAAAAATTAAAGAAATAGAAGGGCTACAAGGATAGCCAATATTTTGGCCCTAGCACTTCAGGGTCAGTAAGGACTCAGGACATAAAAGAACCTGTGCTGTGACATCCTTTTAACTCAGTGGTGTCCAAAATTTTCTGATCTAGGAGATTATGGGGCCACAAAGGAAAGTGATGGCTGATGAATAATTTAAAAATAAGAAATGTAGCACTGAGTTTCCTTTCCTCAGGCTCTTGAGGTTCCCACATGCACAACACTTACCTCGGGTAGTGTAGCCTCCAATGACATAGATCTGCCCCTTACACTCACACGCAGAGAACTCGGCTAGGGGATTTGGTAATGGTGCCACAAAATTCCACGAATCCTGCTCAGGACTGTAACACTCAACATTAGAAACAGCTTGTCCGCCAATGGCATAGAGTTTGGAATTAACAGCCACGAGTTTGAAGTTAGACCTGAAAGAGAGACACAAAAGCCCAGAAAGTAAGTTCTGATCAGAACAAGTATGGTGATGGCATGAATGACTACAGCAGAGATGGAATCTGCTGAGCTCAAGAAAATCCACTCTGTTTGATGGTGGTCATGCCGCAAGGACAGAGGAATGACACGATGACTTCTCCAGTGCAGGACCTCTCCTGTCCTCAAGAGTCCACAAAAGACCACATGACCACACATTAGCAGATGCAGACAAGCAGTTCAACGTAACAAGAACTAATCTTGCTCAGTTTTGGGCTAAGCACCAAAGGCACGCTGCGAACACTAAATTCAAACAGTGGGCCTCTAGGTCCGCAGCCTTGCACTCAGGGATTGAAAATACAGGGGTAGGGAGCTGCATCTGTACTAAACACGCACAGGCTTTTTCCTTTTCATTATTCCCTTTAAGACACAGCACAACTATTTCCATAACACAACTCTTGTTTTGAAACAAGTTCCTGCTATATAGTCAAGACAGCCCTCAAATTTAGAACTTTTGTGCCTCAGCCCTTGAATGCGGGGGCATTTGACAGGTATGTACTGCATGTACTACAGGCATATGTTGCCAGAGTGGCTGTTCATGCACTCTGATATTCAGCGAGAGTCCTGGAATAATTCTTCACACATACTCAAATGCCTGTATTTTCTCTCCAAGAAGAAGTAAGTGCCAAGGAGAAAAGCACCTGGCCACTCCTTTGTCTTCTCCCGTCACGATACTTGCCTCACTCCATCCCCGAACCTCTAGGGGGTACCCAGGTGTGCCCTGCGCTGCATGCTCGATGCTAGAAAGCTTTGTGAGCCATGCCTTTCCTGCACTACAGTACACTGTAAATTTGCTTCATAAAATATAAATTAGGAGATATAAGAACAGAATTAATTAAAAATACTCTGGGTCCAGTACTTTAAGTTTTATAAACCATAAGAAATGCCTCTATCAACAAGTGCAGAGGGCCAGCCAAATAGCTCAGCAGATTAAAGCCAGGGATTTGATCCCTAGGCCTGTCATGCTGGCCCCGCCCCCAGGGCACGCTGAGACAGCAATTAAGATTGGGCACAATGGCATATGCCTGTAATCCCAGCTCTTAGGAAGTTGTAAACAGGTGGATCACTACAAATCCAATCTGGGGGGCCTGGCCCTAGCTCAGTCCTTTAAGTGGCTGCTTCCACAAAGCTGTCAGCCTCAGGTTCCTGGAGTTCGAACCTCACAACTCTCCCCCGCTGGCCAAAAGTGCCCTGAAGGCATTCGAGGAAGGAAAAAAAAAACAAAACCCTTATTCCACTACAAATCCAATCTAGTAGCAAGACCCTGAACACACGTAGGCCCTTCCCTACAATACAAAAAACAAAAAAGTGCACTTCTATTGCAATGTTAAAAAAACTTAAAAAAGAAAACATACTGGGGCCGGGGAGATGGCTGAGTAGGATAAGCGCTTGACGGGAAAACGCGAGGATCTGAGTTCAATCCCTGGTTCCGCCAAAAGAAAAAGAAAAAAAGAAAACATACTGGTTTCAAGCCCCATATTTATTTTAGTAAAGAAGTAAATACTACTACTCATCAGCTTCAGACACAAGGTAAGTCTCATTGCTAAGTAAAACAGCTGATTTGCTTAAATGTAGCACTCAGGGATTAATCTATCCTTTGAAAGCAGAAAATGCAGACATTTGTGAATGTTAGGTGAGCCAACTGTGACATATACAACTGTCAAAAGTCTATGGGGGTCTGAGCAGCAGCAGCAGCAGCAAACCTGAGCACAGGTCAGGAGGCCCGGGCTCTAGGCTCAGCTCTACTGACAAGCAGCTCTCTAGGCCTGATCACCGCAGGTCTCCATCTCAAAGCTGCAGATAAGATCTGTCACAAAGTGGACACAGTTATATCAAATGGTGTCTCAAAAGCATCAGGCAGAGAAGAGATACTATAATTCTGAACTTTTTTTGTACAAATTAAAGATAGACCAAGTGAATCCCAAGGCCATATCTACTCTAATAACAAAGATTTCTTCAAAAATAACAGTATTCTGGAAGTACAGGCCACTATGAAAACAAAACAAAAATTATGTCGGCGTAGATTAAGAAACAGCAATCAACATTAGCCTAAGCCTGGTCTCCTCATAGGCATTCAATAGACACTGATGTATTACAGGGCAGAAAACACAGAGCCTGCCAAAAAACTGCATACAGCGTACTAATAAATGTCTGCACGCTAATGCCACCACTTTGAGCACCTCTTGTCCTAGGACTGAAGATAATTGCATTAATCCCATGATATGTCATTAAATTCAGTATTGTAATGCTTATACAAGTTTTCCTTTTCCTGATGGATATGTGTTTTTAGTACACTGTATACTAGAGTTGGGTGAGGCAGTAGTATGTGTCCATAACCCCAGCTATTAAAGAGGCTGAAGCAGGAGGATGGCAAGTTTGGGGTCAGCCTGAGCAACTTAGCTACACCCTAACTCAAAATAAAAACATTATTAGGAAAAATAAAAATATTATTTTAAAGTGCTTGAGATAAACCTGTATGGCAAAGACTTGCCAAGCACACACAAGGCTCTAAGAAGTTCAAACCTCAGCACCACAAAAAAGACAAGGAAAACATATTAGCAACAACTACCTACTAAAAAGTTTCTTTAAAGGAGCCTATGTGTTTGTATTTAAATGTGCTTTTAGTTCTGTTTTGCTCTTCGCATCGGCTGAACAGAGTGCTCTTGAGCAAGAGCCTCACACTGCCCACGAAGCCCAGCCAGCCTTGCGTTCCCCAGGCAGCGGCTCCCGCCCAGGCGGCAGTTACTGGGGGGTCCCTGACTCATGCTGCTTACCTTCCCCGCTGCCAATGGTCCTTAAAACCCACACGGTGCCCTCTCTATGTCTGTAAATCTGGGGAACCAAAGGAAAATAAAGCCTGTAAATAAGCTCTACATTCTATGAACCCTCAATTTATTTCTGCTCCCCAAAGGTACACAGATAGTAAATTTTCTAACGTGAAAAGTTTTTACTGTTCATGCAGCATAATCACTGTCCTAAGCAAACAGGTAAGGGACTTCTTTCTGAGGATGAATAAGTAATTAAGAGTAAACAATGCCACCTCTCTGAGCCACTTGAAAAGAAGAAAAGGCATTAATGACGTTTCTTTAAAGATAACATTGCCACCTAAAGACAGACCACTTACTAAAGAGGCACACTGTTAAGGCTCTAACTTCGGGCTTGCACAGTGAAATCTCAGCTCCAATTTTCAACAGCTATGTGACCTTGGACAAATCACAGAATGTCTGTGTATCTGTGCTTCAGTTTCCATACCTGTAAAGTGGAAGGAACAAAAGCAGCTTCAGGCACTCAGGACAAACCTGAGGAGGAAGGCCCTTCCCACTGTGCCCCTGAGAGTGCTTCTCTGAGCCCCCGTGGGCGTAAATTCCTTCAGGTGGGAACGGTCGGTTTCTCATTCATCAGTTACAGCAATCTGTGATGTATTCTAGAACTCTGTCCCAAGTGCTTTCTCATCTACAAATTATTGTCGCTCAGCACTTGATTTCTAACTTTCTGAAAACAACTCTTCCCCTCTTCACTTCTAAACAGTAAAGGTATACACCAGCTATAAATCACTTTCAAAAACTATCAGTTCTTCAGTGTATGATCCCAGACATACTATGTTCAAGAGGTTAAAACCAAATAATGAAGAATTTGTCACTCAATTAATTTGTAATAAGCAGAACTACAAGTGAAAAACAATAGCCATGATAGCATTTTAACCTTTACTTCATTTATATGAAATAAAAAGCTCAGCCAAGTGTGGTGGTGCACGCCTATAATACAGCACTCAGGAGGCTGAAGCAGGAGGATTGCTAAGAGTTTGAGGTCAAGCAGGGCTACAAATAAGTTCAAGGCCAGCTTGAACTGCACAGCAAAACTCTGTCTCAAAAAGACAAAAACAAAATTAAATAAATAAATAGCTCAATCAGGAAAAAGAAAAGGGATCTGAACAGGAAGGAAGAAGGCAAACTATCCTTACTGGACAACAACATGATCCTTTACATGGATCTAAACTCTTCCACAGAAATACTCAGAACTAATAAACGTAGCTGTGGCAGGACATAAAAGCAACACACAAAACTCAAGTGTTTCAGTACACCAAAAATAAACAAGCCAAACAAGAAGTCAGGAAACAATCCCATTCATGGTAGCTTAAAAAAAAAAAATTAAATCAAATATCTAAGCATCTAACAAGGAAGTGAAAGACCTCTATAACAAAACTGCAGTATTCTGAAAAAAGAGTGAAGTAGACATCAGAAACGGAAGGATAACCCTTTCACAGGTGGGCAGACCAATATTGTCAAATTAATCATATTACCAAAAATGATGTATAGATTTAATGCAATACCAACAACATTCTTCACAGAGCTAGAAAAAAATCCTAAAATTTTTATGGGAAGAGAATAGACCCAGAAGAGCCACAGCAATCCTGATTAAAAAGAGGAAAGTAGGACGTATCATAATCCCAGATTTCAAGTTATACAACAAAGCTATCATAATAAAAATAGCATGGTACTGGCACAAAAAAAAAAAAAAATAGAACTGAGGATGTAGAAACAATGTCCTGGCATTTTCAGTCATTATTTGTTTTGTTTTGTTTTGTTTTGTTTTTGGCAAAGGGGCTAAAACCATAAGCTGGAAAAAAGACTTCTTTAATAAATGGTGCTGGGAAAACTGGCTATCCACATGCCAGATCTTGACTGACTCTAGATCCGTATCTTTCAGCATGTACTAAAATGAAATCAAAATGGATCGAAGAGCTAGATATAAAAACAGAGAATACTTAATCTGCTGGAAGATAATATTGATTCTTCAAGACACAGGTATAGGCACAAGCTTCCTGAACAGAACATCAATTGCATGGGGACTACCAGCAAGAATCAACAAATGAGATCATATCAAATTTAAAACCTTCTGCACAGCAAAGGAAAAAAGAAACAACAATTGGAACAAAAAA